CGCCGCCACCACCGGGCTAGGACAGCGCGCTTCCAGCGGCACCGGTATGCCACTCCCGGAACGCCACCAAGACGGGCCTTGCAAGGGGCGAGGCGCCAGGTGCCTAGAAGGATGGGAGCGCGTTATGTAGTTTGAGTTCCCCACCTTGATAGGCATTTGGGGGCTTCTTCTAGAACAATGGGGGGGTCCAACACTCTAGAAAAAATGCAAGAGGGACCCCAAAAGTCTTTAGACGTCTGGGAGAGGGGTGTCAAAAACTCTAGAACTCTCGGGGTTCTACCGTCCCCAAATGGCACCAGCACCCTTGTGGGGTCTAGGCCTCCAAATGGCTCTAGAACCTCAAAAAGCCCCTCGATCCAGAGTTCGACAGCCCTGGGAGCTCTAGAGCGCTTTGGAGCACTGGAACCCCTTTTTTTTTCTAGAACTCCAAAAGCGCTAGACTTCTTGGGGGCTACTGAATTCTCGATGTGGGGGCTTTTTCATCAGTCCAGCCTCCTCCCTACCGACGTTCCCGCGAATCGTGTCCCTGTGTGTGCGGATTTTTCCACCCATGTGTGGAATAATTTTATGTGCACCCAGGCAGGTGTGAATGTGCACCACCAGTAGAAAAAAAACTAGCTGGGGTGCTCTGTTAATCACTGGGGTGGCACTTGAATGTCTCCTGAGCGGCTGCACAAGCGCACAGCTTACAGGGAACACTGCTCTGTACCCACCAGCATTGGAGGGTAGGAACGAAGGGGGCCCTGTGCATCTGGTTTGTCCTGCCCCCCCCCGCTGCTTGGGGCCCCCCCCCGACCCTGATTTGAGGGACAAAATGCATCGCAATCCCTTCCGGGAGGTGAAATTAATTCCAGGGTCCGAGAGTCATCATGAAATGATCACGTTTAATGAACCTACCCTCTCTCCTGGGTCGTGTGTATGGTTGGCTGTTTCAGGGTATGTGTGTGTGGACTTTTTGTGTTTGTTTTTTATATACACATCTATAAAAAATTCAAATACAGCATGTTACCATTTGGAATACTAGGACGAAGGGCATTAAATACATTAATTCCAGGGTCCGAGAGTCATCATGAAATGATCACGTTTAATGAACCTACCCTCTCTCCTGGGTCGTGTGTATGGTTGGCTGTTTCAGGGTATGTGTGTGTGGACTTTTTGTGTTTGTTTTTTATATACACATCTATAAAAAATTCAAATACAGCATGTTACCATTTGGAATACTAGGACGAAGGGCATTAAATACTGCGCTCGGGACGGGCGGAAGGGGGGCGGGCCGGGGGCTGTCGTACAAAACAGGATCGGGGTGCGGCGGGGGAGGGGGGGGGGGGGAAGAAGGAGGGGGGGG